AGGTTTACATTGTGTTTATCAAATAACAGAAATAAACCCACCTTTTACAAAACCTGTCATTTCAAAACCCCTGTATAGACAGGAAATTTAATGCAATTTGCAGTCGTGGCATTTAACCGTCTATATGTACATGTCCAAGTACATTACACAAAAAGCTAAAATATCCAAATATAATATAAATATAAATTGCATACTTCATAAAAAAAATATACGATTATTTATAACTTACTTTTATATTATTTCGTATAATTCGTATTAGATGAAAGACTGGCATTGAAATCATTTTTTTTTTTTGAATGGCATACGGACTCATAAAGAAAATCCGCGGTATATTTATTTATGCCCATCAAACACTTTTAAAATCATTTATTTTCACAAAATAAAATTGGGTTTTTCACCGGAGTCACCCATGTGACCTAATGTTATCTGTTTTCGTCCGTCGTCGTGCGTCCTTCGTTTTTTGCTTCTTCTCTGGAGCCGCTGAACCAATTTCAACCAGTTTTGGCATAAAACATCTTTAAGTGAAGAACAGAAATGGTAAATTTCATGGTCCCTGCCCTCCCCTGGGATAGTAGGGGTGGTGCTAAAATCATCAAAATTAGTGTTATCTTTAAAAATCTTCTTACCTCCTGGACATCATGCTGGCATGATTGAAATAAGCATTGTAGTACCAAAATTGTGAAATTTATAGCCCCAAGGTCGAGGGTTCTGGAGTAAGGGTGGGGCTCTAATGAACATGCAGTAAAAATGCATAATTTAAAAAAAATCTTTTTCTCTTCCACTGCAGATAAATTAGGTGCATGGTTGTGATTTAAAAGGGTGTCTCTTCCAAAATTTTGTGACCCCAGGGGGAGGGGTTCTGCGAGAGGTGGGCTCTATTGATTATATAGTGAAAGTGCATTATTTTGGTAGGGGAGATTTCTTTGAAAATCTTCCTCTACCCCTGTGTATTAAGCAAACAAATCAAGTAACTATATAGTTATGATAAGCAAGGGTGCCTCTCTTAAAAATGTGATTTTCATGGCCCCTGGTTCTTGTGTCAGGGCCGGGCTATATTGATATTATTGAGAAAATGCATTAATGCTTTGAAAATCGTCTTTTCTGCTCCTAGATAATTTGCAGATAAACTAAATACATGGTTATGATGAGCCTGGACGCCTCTTCCAAAATTGCTAAATTTGTGGGCCCCAGTGGCAGGGGTCCCTACCCCTGGATATTTAGCAGACAAAGTAATTTCATAGTTACGATGAGCAAAGATGCCTTTTAAAAAGCTTGAAATTCATAACCTTGGGTTGGGGGGGGGGGGGGGGTTTGTTGTGTTGTTAGTATGGGACTCTTTTGTATATAAAGTAAAATTGCATTATTTTTTCAGAAAATCTTCTCTGCCCAAGGGTATTTAGCAATCATACTAAGTACATGGTCATGATGAGCAGGTGTGCCTCTTCCAAAATTGTAAATTTCTTGGCCCCCGGGTCGAGGGCGCTGGTGTTAGGGTGGGACTATGTTGAATCTAAAGTGAAAATGCAATGTCTTCTTGAAAATCTCTGCTCTCGGGCATCTATGAGGCAAAATGAATATATAAAGTTGTAATAAGCAAGAATATTTTTACCAGAATTTTGAAATTCTGCACCACTTGGTCAATTTATTAATTTGTATTCGCCTGAAAGAAATTATTCCCCTTTGCTATCCACCTATGATAATTAATCCCTGTAAATAATGAATTGAAATGTCAATTAAATTAGAGAACTTCAAGAATTCTTAAAAAAGATAATATGAAAGGTACTTACATAGTTTCAATGGTCAAGTAGACTTTAAATAATAGAAAAATAACATAAACTCAGATGACCATTAAGGCCCTTGGTGCTCTTGTACTTGTATTTTAAAGGGGTGTTTCTGGCGTTTTCCAATAGCATAATGAAAAAAGTTTTAAGGACTTTATGCTCATGTAAACTACAAGACTTAGCATTGAAAGTTTATTTGACTTTTGAACACTCCAACACCTTCCACTGGAAACATCTATCCTTGCCTTCGTCGTATGGGTATGTGGATCATTTGACGATAATACTTTACCAATTTTATTTGTTAATGGATTGTAAATGAGGTATCATTTGATAATTGTTTTTTAACCAAGGGCAAGAGAGAAGAGATAATTGATTCTGAATTTTCATTTGAAAAAAAAATGTTGAATCCAACTTTTAAAAAAAAATGAATAATGAAAAAAGCTTTTATAGCTTTCCATGCTGTAAAGGTGAAATAAACTCCGAATTGTTTCAAAATATATTAAAGGGTTAATTTTAATTTATTTCTTTACTGATGCACAGAAATTATATTAATGTAGAGCTTGAGTTAAATTAACCCGTAGTAAACTGAGTGATGAAAGGTAAAAACTCACTCCCACATGTATGACCCTGTATTGAGACCACATCCTAGATATGACAAGAACAAATCTCAATTAAAGGACAGATGATACAAACCAAAAAATGGATGCCTGGATTGAAATTTATTTTTTGACTTATTTCCGTTGTAAAAGATGCGAATATTAAAGAGCCAAACCCACGAAGGGCCAAAATCGGCCTAATTTGTCAGGAAAATTAAACTAAATTGAAGAAGAAAAATCACAATAAAAATATTACCCATAAGTATCGAACTTAAAAAGTGTATACGGCTTTTTTTCTATTTAATGACGTCATATTTGTATAGAAAACGTTGGAACACGTGTACTTTGCCCCTTTTTATCAAAATACACCACTATTTTCGTCTTTTTTCAATTTTTTGCTGTGGCCACACCCTTCAAAAAAATGAATTCATAAAGAATATTTTTATTTTGTTCGAGAGGAGTGGTCACATCTAAAATTTTACTTTTTCTTCACCGTCTAACCTCGCAGCGCCGACAACCATAAAGGTATGTATGGGGTTTTTCCCACATTTATAGCAAACAAACTGCTTTATATTGCTTATGCATTTGTTTCTTTTATTTCAGTATTCATTGTACACACATATTCCTAGTAATAACTTTTTTCCGCAGAATTATTTATGAATGACCTCTGTTTTCCAAGAAAGAATTTTTAAAAACATTTATCATTTCTCTGAGAAGGTAGTTTATTTTTGTATACCTGTACAAAGCAGAATAATTCAAAAGTATCACAGTGATAATATTTAACAGGTGATTCAATAATATTTCAGAAAAAATGTTCCTGAAAAATCAAGAAATATATTTTAATCATTATACATTTTCCTACCAAAAAGGAATTTTCTCCATACCCATTTTTTTCTGATCCGTTGTTAAACAGTGATACGATTTTCCGGTTCACTGTAGTTGGGTTTCTCCGAACCCATATCACTACTCTCTGAAAGTGATGACAAAATACACAGCATATACAACACATTTCTTCATTAACTGTTTGTACTTTTGATCATGATCCATAAACTTAACTGAATTTAAACAACCCCTGTCATAAAGTTTCAGAAATCTCTTTCATTTTCCTACAAATCTTTCTCCAAAATTTCAAAGGTTTATTTTGCTATAAAAATGTTATTTAAATTGTTAAATTTGTTTAAAATTGGGGTGGAAAAATACAATAAGCATTAAAATTGTCTTATTATAAACTGTCAAGCAGTCATTATAAAGGTAAAACTTGAAACACCAATGAATTGCATTATGGTTGTTTTGATCTCTTGAAGGACATTATAGAATTAGATTGACAGGAAATTTACAGAACATTTGGTAATTACCCATCAAGAAGAGGGGAGACAATAATTCATGTAAGTTTAATGAATCGCTATTCAGCTATTTGTGTACAAAATTGGCAAACATTTATTTAGAATTTTGAAATCCTGATTTTAAAAAAATGGTGTATTTTCACCCCATTACATTCTAGCCAAAAAAATTGCAAACCTGATTTGTAACTCATAAAGATAGACTCACATACCAAAATTCAAATCAATAAATGCAATGCTTTAGGCAAAAATGTCAGAAAGACTGGCTGTTTTAGCTGATTCATTTTTTTTTTCCATTGATCAAGACGGTCATAATTATAGGAATAAACTCAATGATACAATAGTCCGTATATTTAACATATACTTAAAGGTTGATGAAATTTTCTTTGTTAAATACAGTTTAAAAGCACAGTTTCCTTTTGATAATGTTGTGCATTGATACAAAAATAGATGACGTACATGAAAAGGCAGTAAGAGGTAATTAAAACTGTTGAAAGAATTATCCAAATCTGAAAAATAATATCGAATTTGTGAGTATCCAAAACATATTGAATCGTATAAATTTCCTGGAACCGAAAATTGAAAATAATAGAATATAAATCAGGCTAACTATAAATTAATACTTATCATAATGTAGTAAACAATCATCATTTTGTTTTGGGTATAACTATCATTTGAAATCATTGAATTCTCATAATCTCGTAATCCAAATCCCGTACAAACAATTTAAACACAGTTAATGTGATTTCAACGAAATGAATCCAGAGAGACCCTGATTACGAAATAAAAATATCATTTATAATCAAAATAATACATTGTTTTGCATTAAAAGAGTTTATTTATTAATGAGTATATGATTTATATATTTTATGGTAATAGTCAAGATATATGTACTAATCGTTGATGATATACAATGATACCATTGCAATATGTCACCAAATTGTGTCTAATCACGCAATATGTATTATATATAAGAAGAGAGAGTTAGTCGGTCATTGGTATCTGCTACTAGCACCAAGACTAAAAATCCGACGTTTCATCTAAGCAGGTAAAAAAATATATTTTAATTTACGAGGGCACTAACAAATGAATCTTGTTCTTGAAATATGTTTATTGATAAAAAAAAAAAAAAAAAAAAAGAAATTCATAATCATTGTTTGGAAAATTACAATTCGCCTTTGTACAGTCAAATATACTAAGATATAGCTTATCTTCAGATGTAACTTTTCAATTTCTAAAAGTTAAAAATTTTATTCTATTTTTCATCTAATCATCATTTTAGAATGCATTCCCTAGTGTTTGTTGTGGGAGTAAGTGCAGTTCTTGGTATTAATGCGACTGATAAAGTGTCACCACGGCCCAGTCTTAAATCTTTCAGGGCCGACTATGACAGTGTCGCTAAAACTTGTGTGGCTGTTGGTTATGTAAAAGATAACTGCAAAAGCAACAAAGATAGAGGTAAGACACTTAAATCACGCCTCTTTATCTTTTATTTTAGATTTGTATATTATTTCGATGTATTTTAAATGATGCAATGGAAGTTTTCAATCTTTTCGTCTTAGGAAACATGGTGATAGCATTCGACGCTAAAGCAAAAAGTACGCAGGCAGTTAGTGGAGGGAGCATCGTCATATTTAAAGATGTCAATTTGAATTTAGGAGGAGGATACAACGCCGTTAAAGGAATTTTCATAGCTCCAAAATCGGGAGTTTACGTATTTGATTGGACAACAATGACGGCCACCAACAAATACGCCTACACCGCTCTGTACTTGAATGGTAACATAAAGGCGTACAACCATTGCCATAACAACAGTCATGACATCTATATGGTATGCAGTAAAATGGCTGTTGTAAAAATGAAAGCAGGAGAGAAGGTCTGGATTGGATGTTTTTCTGGAACATCATCCGTTTACTCGTCACATTCTTCATTCTCCGGTTTCATGTTGTAATTGTAAAACAGACACAAATAAAAAAAAGGAATATTATTAGCAATCTGATTTAACGTAAAATGTAACGTAAAGAAAAAACACAGAGAGGGTTGTATTCCACAAGAAAAGTGTAGTGCATGGGGATCAAGGATCGTGCCGACAAGAATGGAAAGTGGCATAACTTCTATACTTAATTTCTATATTCCTCTTATTTGGTGAAAGTTTAGGACAACAAGATAAATTTTCATATTTTATATATATATATATATATATATATATATATATATATATATATATATATATATATATATATATATATATATATATATATATATATATATATATATATGTATGTGTGTGTATATATATATATATATATATATATATATATATATATATATATATATATATATATATATATATATATATATATATATATAATGAATTGACGTTGTCTGATGCCGAATCTTAATGACATTTTTCGGGCATGATGTCAAGCAAATCTAGTTGTGCACTATGGACTTTATTTTTAATTTTTTTTTTTTTTTTTTTTTTTTTGGGGGGGGGGGGGGTTTCAAAATGGCCACTTTTGCCATTATGTAAGAAACAAATGAAAAGCAACATGCTTTGTCCTCAGATGTTCTTACAGATAGCCGGGAGAATCTTAATGAAAATTTAGAGAAATGAATATCACCAACACTTGATATGCCACTTACATAAATCAAATTTTCTAAATTATCACCGTTGGCATGAAAACAGAAAAAACAGTAACAATTGTTCCTTACATAGTGTCAAAGTAAAATATTCATTTGATTGCACAAAATTTGTAGCTGTAGCCATAAACAGAACATATATCCTGCGAAAAGTTGCTTTTAAGCTACCGTTGTATGGAATCCGAAGTAGATTTAAAAAAAAAATAGAATTTTGTTCTTTTGCGTGAATAAAAACATATTATTAATGGGGTGATTAGAGATATCTCTAGAAATTCTAAATATACCATCAGTTTGTTTATTTGGAGTGAACAGTGGTTTTACCATTCAGAATGGCCGAATACATTGTACGTGTACATACATTTATTTCTAATCTGTTAAGCACTACAAATTATTCAGTTTATTTTCATTGTATTTCTCAACTATCGACCTACAGTAATGTGCTATTATAATATTTTTTAATATATGTGCTGAATAAACCTTTCTGTTGTGGAAAAAACGACAAAAGCATATATCCAGTATGATAAACGCTAGAAATTATTCATTTTTTTTTTCATTTAAGTACTCCGCAACTAACAAGTTTCTAGAAATGATGAAAGTTATATTAGTGTAGAATAAATCTTGTTTTTGTGTGCTTTTTTCTCCAAAAACTTTCTAAGCTTTACTTTCATAGTAACGATTTTCAAAGAAATTTCTGTAATATAAAAACATGGTCTAATGTTCAGAATATTTACCTTTTACCTACATGTCTACTTTCATTCACACACACACACTCCATGACAACAGATTATTTCACTAAACCTGAAAGTAGACCTCACATTGACACAAATGTTCTACATGTATATTAAAGATTTGAGAGAAATTTTCTAAGAAATGTGATTCCCATAGACCCATATCCACTGATGAGAAAGTAGTACATGCACATTTATCTCCAAAAAATGGTCAAAAAATGTTTAAGGTACAGTTAAACAAAGAAATAAAATTAACATTTGTTTTGAGGTTTTCTAGGTTTTCCCTCATATGATGATATTTTGCTGCTATGTACATGTACGTGCCTACCAATGCTTTGAGGGAAATAACTGATATGATTGAAATATGTATGCTTAAACGGTCATTTTTTATGACGAATACCTTTGAAATTAGTGTATATATATATATATATATATATATATATATATATATATATATATATATATATATATATATATATATATATATATATATATATATATATATATATATATATATATATATATATATAAACAAATATTTTATGAAGTCAACACAAGTTGCCATGCATGGTTGAATCAGAATAAACGTAGCTGAGGAATGAGGTTGGGGTAGTATTCCAACGACCTTGTCTTGTGTTTGAAGATTGATTGATTGTATGTAGTTTAACGTCCCTCTCGAGAATTTTTCACTCATATGGAAACGCCACCACTTGCCGGTGGAGAGCTGCAAATTTTGTCCTATACTCGGCACTTACGGCCATTGAGCAATGAGGGATCTTTTTCGTGCCAGCACCTACTGCGACACGGGACCTCGGTTTATACGGTCTCATCCGAAGGACCGGTCTCCACGTCCCACAGTGGGATTCGAACCCGCGACGTAAGGATCAACTCCTTAATTCAATCTCTTTTTTTCAATTATTTAAGAGCCATTCTTTGTAATGACTTGAACTTTTATATGGCAGCTGTGGCACGCATAGTTTCAGAATTTCTCCAAATTCTCTATGATAAAAGTCTTTGATACCGTAAACTCAAATCAGGCAAAAATTGGTTGCTACGTGTCATGGATACCATAGCAACATGTCCTAAAGTTTGAAAAATGGCATTTTTCAACATCTTCAGAGTCCCACAGTTAACGTTTGCAGCAAAGCAAACAAGTGACAATGACTGTTTCTGAAAGTTGAAGGCCTGGTGTCTTATCTGCATGATAAACATGTTTGGTAAATCATCTATAACATACGTTGCTATGGAAACAAAGTATTCAAAAGTAATAATTTTGTTCATCTAATTTTAAAAAGTCATACACTTAAGAATAAAAACAATTACAGGTTGAAATGCGAGCAAATAATAGAGAAGAGATCCTTGTAACATAAACCAAGGACAAAATATGATATTTCTTATAGGTTGGCAATGGTTGCCATGGTTTTAATACCACGAAGGGATTTTAAATTTACTCTCTTAATGTTTTAATCTTATCCTATCTTTTTAAAAAGCATATTTCTATATAACTGATGATCAATTTTTAAAGGCCTTGGTGTGACCCTAATTTTCACATTTCAAAAAATTCAATTTCAATTCTTTATATAGTGCGTTGCTATGGAAATAAGGCGAAAAAACATACATAAAAATCTGAAAAATACTCTGTTTCCTTGGATACTTACCGTTGTATGTAGATTCCCAAAACTTTAATGATTGATATATGTGAACAACTAACCTGACTTTCAATTTTGACTATCACCCAGTCTCTAACTGGATGCAAAAAGCTGGCACATAAGGTCTAATATTGACAAAAAATTAACAAAATTGAACATTTTCTCTTCTTGGTAACCATAGCAACAGTGTTGTATTTTTTAACAACCTTTATCAATATATGATATTCAACTTTAATTCTACGAGATAAGTACTATTCAAGGTGATTCAAATAATATTTTTCTTGATTAAAAGGTTAGTAAATTCCTAAAGCAGCAAAAAATATCACTTAAAAAACAACTAGTACGTTGTTTCCATGGTTACACTGCAAAGTAACAATTAATCTCAATTTTTCTTATGTTGTCGATGTTGCAAGGTCCTAAGGATGCATATGTGCCAGTCATGAATTTTATTGTTTTTCCTCACGATAGTAGCATTAACCCAATCAAAGCAACAGATTTTGCATGGTGACACTGTGTTACCATGGCAACCATGAAAGTTATTTATAGAATAATATTGCCAATACCTAATTACATGAGGTCAAATATTTTTCATTGTTTTTCTTACGTTGTTGATTGAGTTTGATCATGTAACATCTATCATTTGTGACTATAGAGCGTTTTTCAGCATTTTTCAGCATCTAAAATGTATTCCAAATGTACCCATGGTTACCACTTACTTAGAGATAAATTCTAAATAGTTTCTTTATAGCATAAGTGGCAACAAGGTGTCATGTTTCTGAGAGAATGGTTTGTTTGTTTTTCTTAGTCTTTATTAAGGCTTAATAAAGATTTAAAGTAGCTGAAAATCTCAATTTTTTCAACTTCTCGGGCTGTTACCATGGCAACAAAGACACATAGCAACGAAATTTTATTTGATATATGTTTCTGGTGTCAAGTTGTAATAATGGGCAAAGTTTCATCAAAATCGGTGACCATGCGTGGCAAAGAAGTTTAAGTGGTTACAGAGAATCGCTATTAATATTTACGTCGTCGAAAAATTAATGTGCTTGATGTACTTGATCTAGGTACAAAATTATACTACATACAAAATCAAAATCAACTGCCCCTTAAATGCAAGGTGAACAGTTTTTGTATGGCATAAAAAGCTTACAAGCAACACAGGCGATGTTGTTGCGTGTGTTCAGTACTTTTCACCTCTCGTCGTTTACAGACTAAAACAAGAGCCAAGAAAGGATATCAGTTTGAGATTCTAAAAAAAGCGAAAGAACATTGTTATTATAGACCACAGGTTTCTGTTTTCTTCTTATTGCTTTTACTAAAGGAATATTACGAGGCAAGTTTTGTTGGGTCAGGGGCAGACGTCAAAATATAGGAAATGTTAAACAGCCATGACACATTTCAGACAAATATTTTCATTTTAATATCATTAAAAAGCACACCAGGGTCTTACTCTATACAAAATTTTATTACTACACGTAGCATATATAGTTTCTCTTGCTAATCATACCATGGGGGTGTAATTTTGCCAGTATATACTTTACTATAGAAAAGAAAGTTAATTTAGAGTTGTGCCCTCTTAATAATTTTGCCGGTAAAAAGTAAACAATTATAGAAATGTAAGTTAATATACGGCCATGCCTCCTTAAGAAACATCAGACGACTATTCTATATTCTTATTTTGGAAACTTGGTGATCAAATGTTAAGATAAAAATGTTTAAGGTTCCTGTATTAAATTGGGAAAATAACCAGGGTTGGCTGGTAAAATCGAAGACAATTTATTTTTAGGGCTTACGCGATAGTAAGGTGTCCGTCGTCCGTCCGTCTAGCTGTCTGTCTGTCTGTCTAGCTGTCTTTCGTCCGTCTGTAAACAATTTTTCAAAATGCTAATCCTCCTACAGTTTTGATCTGATTTCAATATAACTTGGCACAC